ACCATTACCATGAGGTCATCGGCAAAGAGCAAGCAAACCGGGACCGCATCCTCTAGAATGTTATTAATTTTTATTCTAGCAATGTCTTTGTTTGTCCTTAGGTTCGCTGCCAAGGTCTCTATGATGATCAAAAAGAGGAAGGGAGCGATTGGGTCCCCTTGCCATACTGACCAGTTCAATTGGATGGCTGGTGCCAACGAGTCATTGACCTGAACCTTAGTCGTTGCATTTTGTTGGAGGATCCGTACCCATCTCCTAAACCTTAGTCCAAAGTTCATTCTCGCTAAGCTCTTATCTAAAAACAGTCAGTCCACATAATCATAAGCTTTTTAAAATCTATGAAGACTTGGTCTGCATTTTGCTTCGAGTACCGAGCTAACTGTAGTACTTTATGCACTAGTAGAATATTTTCCTGTATATTTCTCCCTTGCATGAAACCGGTCTGATCCAGGTGGATGATAACCTCTGTTAGAGGGATCATCCTGTTGGCCAGGACCTTGGCCAACGCTTTGTAGACCACTGCAAGGAGGGTGATCGGACGATAATTCCTAATATTCATTTTATCCCCTTTTTTGTACAACAAAGATAGCACTCCCTGTCCAACCATTTCCCCCATTTCCCCGGTGCACCACACATCTTTGAAGAAGTTCATAACATCATTACTCATGAAATCCCATGCCGTTTCCCAGAAATCATTGGGGAGGCCGTCAATTCCAGGCGTTTTTTCCTCTTCCATTTGTAGGAGCATTGTCCAGATCTCTTGTTTGGAGAGAAGCGCCTCAAGGAGTTCCTTCTTTCCTGTGTCAAATTTTATCCACTGGCTCTAGGAATTCCTTTATCCTTTGGAGGTGTGTTTCGCTTCCGCCATCCGATACATGGGATGAGAAAAGGTCCTTGAAAAAATCACGTGTGATTTTGGTGCATCTGCCAGTAGTCAGTGTCAGTTCCGCTTCACTTGCGTTCGGGTCATGTAATGCAACGATTGTGGTGCGTCTGGCTTGTGTTTTTGCAAGGTTGAAAAAATATGCGTCCATCGCGCAGTCAGTAGAGAACTTTGATAGCTTCCCCCTGATTCGCGCTCCCTGCCAGCGATACTGTACATACTCCAAGAGTTTATTTTTAAGCTGTTGTATTTTTTCATGCTCAGGGTCTTGGCAGTGTGAATCATTTTGCTGTTCCAGGTCGCAGAGGCGCTGCATAACATCAAAACGCTTGGAAAATTCACCGCATTTTTTTTATCAGAAAAAACAGACAGAGTCCGTTATTAAACCACGTGATATAAGAGTCAATTTCCGGTATACGTTTCTGCCAGTATTCCCATGTCTGTCTTAAATAGTCTTGAAATGAAGCCAGGTGGAGTAGGTAGGTGCTAAGCTTGTAAAATGATACTAAAATCCTGGTGCCTGGTCTGGTCGTTTACGAAAGGTGAAAATTGCTAAGCACATTTTGTGATCTAATCCAGTGTATGGACTCAGGGGTAGTATTGCAAAAGCAGTGAGGCCACCCGCCAGGGCCTCTGCAGCAAGAATACCTATCCAGGTTATTATTTTTGATACAAGTGAAGGTCCTCTCTGTAAGGTGTGTCGAAGAGGGAAAGGGTGGTACACAATTGTTCTAGCATATTTTCGTCCTCTTCAGCGTTATGAGTGCAGGAGGGGGGAACTCTTCACCTGTCCATCCATCTATCCGGTGTGGCATTGAAATCTCCTGCTGAGATTACTGGAATGCCCGGCGGGGGTATGGTTTGAATTTTCTCAAAGAACTCCCTCCTATCCCGTGCTGCATTGGGGGCATAAAGGGCAATAGCATATACCTCTAACTCCAACATCCCCAACACAACACCCATCGTCCTTCTATCTCATCTTGCTGATGGTTTAGGACTTAAAATCTGGAATTAGGAGGCACCCACATTGCTACCCCTGCCCTTCCTGGCCCTGGGGCATGTACCCTATAGGCTTGGTAAGGCCACACCTGTTTGTGTGCCCTGTGGTGCTCCGGTCGATCCATAAAATGTGTTTCTTGTACACAGATTAGATCAGGCCAGGTCTTTCCACCCACCCTCCGGAGAAAGTCCCACAGTGCCTGTGTTTTATCCTGATTGTGAGATGCCTGACCATTTACATTAACGGTTCTGAGATCCAGATCTGCAGTCTGTAGGGTGCGCCTCCAGGCTTTATTTCTGCCATACACTGTTTCCACCCAACCCATCTGCTGCGTTATCAGTTCCTACTCCCTCTTGTGGCTTCTCGTCCTTTACAGCCTTTGCCATTCTTGCACGTTCCAATCAACCCTCCCATTGAGAATATTCCTACGCAAGATGTTGAACAGGATTGTCAGCAAGTCATCAGCCGACCAGGTCTGGCTAGGCTTCACCTTAAGTTGCTGCATTTCTAACAGGCTGTTGTGCGATTGCCAAGTCAGACCAGCCTCTTTGGTTTCATCAAATAAGATATAGAGGTCTTTGTGGGCCATTTTCAGTTGTTCCGAGGAAACACTCTAGGTGGCCACAACCCCTGGATCGTAGTGGCCCTCCATGAACTCTTTGACCTCATTTATGCGTAGCACCCCTTCCTTTTGGAGATGCCATCCATGTAACGTCACCCCCCCATACGTAACCGTCTACGCATCTTCTGAATCAGCCGGCGAAAGACCCAGTTCCCACCTACCTCCCTTTTCCGGATTGGGAAAGCGTGTCCCGCCACACCAGCTGTCCATAGTGAACCTCCAGTGGTACGGAGCTGGCTGAATCGAACTTCAAAAAAGCAGGGGCATGTCAACATACAGCAATAGAAATCAGCAGATCCCCAGAGACGACTAGCGACAATGCTTTCGACATGCCGGGATGTAAAACAGCTGAAGAGGCGGTAAAAAAAAAAAAAAAAAAAAAAAAAGAGATCTGATCCAGCCACACAGTCTGGATTGACTACGTATGGGGTCCTCCCAAGCCTAGCCACCGAGGGACAAAAGCCTCCAGGCCCCCCCCTTACCCCCCCCCCCCCCCCCCCCCCCCAAAACAACAAAAAAAAAAAAAAAGAAAAAAAAAAAAAAAGGAAAAGGGGGGAAAAAAAAAAAAAAAAAAAAAAAAAAAAGCCAAGTTCTCCCCCCCCGGCCTGATTGGTCAATCCCCTGGCCAGAGCAGGGTAATTACTGCCAGCAGGTCGGGGAAGGGCGACATAAAGAAACCATATCTGTAGAGAACGGGACGCTGGACCCGGTTTCCAGCAGGCGCAGCTTCCCGCCATTAGACTGGAGCACCCGCCACCTTGACTAAGAGCCAAAGATGCGCATGTCACTTCCCCTGGTGGATCGACCCCAGTGTCAAAAAATAAAAGATAAGGAAGGGTGCCAGTATGCTGATAGCCCCAGCGTTGCTTAAAAAGTGCATGGCCATCGAGGGTGCTCGCCACAGACTCCAATGTACGACTAGACAATGACTATCAAGATGCTCTGATAATTCGTATGCATACGAGCATGTTCAGCGGATTGCCAGGTTGTGCGAGGACAGGTGCCATGGCAAAGTGCTGCTGTTGCTGTTGAGGAGATGTGTTGGCTGCTCAGGAGGCCTAAGTAGGTGCCTTCTACTTAGGACTGAAACGACTCCATTGGCATCTTGGAAGAATTGCAGTCCGCCCTCTATGCAACTGAGAGAGTCTGTCAGCAAACATTGACGCGTTGTGGCGTGCCGATCTCATGGTTGCTATGAACTTGGAAATCACACCCGAGATGCTGGCATTGAGTTGATACTAAAGCAGAGAGTCTGCAAATGTTCATCTTGTATAGCATAGTCCACTGTGCCTACCTGACCATCAACAATGCCAGTACATCATGGAAATGCTTGTCCACATGGGCAATTGTCAAACTCTGGAGTCTGGAGGAGGTATATTGCTTGTTCTGTTGAGCCCCACTTCTGTAGGGTACCATCTTGTCACAGATGCATATTTCCTTGGCGTGAGGAGAGGAGGCTGCTGGTATAACTCAATGATCTCATGCAGCCGAAGGACACTCCGAAATTGTGAGGTACGAGTAACATCATGCAGGTGCAAGACAAATAAATAAAACTTAAACCACCAGTGCTTCTGACCCTTCTGGTGCCGGGCCTGGAAACGCCCTGGCACCCCAAAAAAAATGAACCGGTGCAGGCCATCCTTGGCTGCTGTTGCCAGCCATTTTGCTCCAGTAGACCAAACCCCAAAACAAAATTTTCGGATTCATTTTTAAGATTGAGAACATTCTCCTGCAAAAATAAAAATGAAAACAAAATTGAAAAAGATTGAGACCATTCTCAATCGATTACGAAAAACTTTTCAGCTTTTAGCCTTTTAGGAAGAAAAGCTATTTGACCTGCAATTGCTACAGCGTAACCTCCATTTACTGAATTCAACAAAAAAACTTTGCAGCCGCATACATGCCGTAAATGGCTGACAAACGTACTGGTGGTTTAAGAACAGAGCCCCATCATGCGCAGGGCTTGAAATACCGTCGGCGAGAGTACTGCAGACCGTGTGCGTGTTTGTGTGTGTGTGTGTGTGTATTATAAAATATCACCACAACTTTCCCTATTCCACCCAGATGAGTAGATCCAAAGTCATAGCAACTTCACCTGTATTGCACACAATGAAGCATGCTCAAAATGAGCCAATCCATGAAGTCGATATCTATTCAGAACCTTACCTTTAAACAAACAAGGAATCTCACCTTTACACAAGCAATGCAACACACTTGAGATGGGCCAACCCAACAGTAAAAACAATACGAGACACAATAAAGTCGTTATATCGTTTTCTTGATTATATTTTCATCAGCTAGCATTGGGAGGCCTCCCATTTTCTTTGCTTTTGCAGTTACCCTCTTACTGTGCCTATCACGTACAAGGCTGGCCACGTTGATGATGGTTGAGCACCAGCTGCCCACATCCCCGTGTGCCTTAACGGCCCGCTTGCACATTATAAAAGGAGGCAGAGTAAAAGGGTAATTATATTTTGTCTGTTCTCTCAACGACACGCATTCATATGCGTTTACTAGTAGTTGTTATGATCCTGGCCAAATTCGAAGTATACATTCATCTGAAAGTACAATGCCATCCAATTGCAGAAAGAAATGAATGAACTTGAGAGAAAAGAGAGGGAAAGAAGAAGAAGAAGAAGTGAGAAAGAAGAAGATGATGATGTACTCCAGCATAGACCAATGTCAAGACTCTTCTTCTTCACCAACCAATCCCTTCCTCCTTATCTCCTCCCTCTTATTCAAACAAGAAATAACAATAATAATGTTGAACGACTGAACCAGAATCAATGTCCGAATCCCACTTCTACTGCAGGCACAACATGAGGTCCACCATAGCCATGGCAAGCCTTCCTCTTCCTCTACATACAGGCCGAGGCTATGGTGGACTACTGAGGCTTCAGCCTCCTGTCCAAAGGACAACTCAAAGCAGCTATACCGCTGCCCCACTTCAAGGTCATCACCATGCAGCTATGTCGCTGCCCACTCAGCCACCATGCCTGACTCTGTCCCGAGCTTCCTTGATGCGGCACTACCCCCACTGGGGCCTTCCTGATGCAGCGCCTAGCAAGGAGATGAAGATGGTGTCTACCATAGCCAGTAAGTACCTCGCCACTCTCCYCCTTKGTCCCCTTCTCCCTCCTCCTCCTACCGGTAGAGCTCCACCATAGCCAAGGTGGAARCTCCCGGCTTCTTCCTCCCAGCAGCGCTGTGGTACCCAGCGCTACTCCAGCCAGCGCTCCAGCAGCGTGTCGCCAAACTTGCACACTGAAGAATGAGGCTGGGCTSTCCGCCCTGCCTCTTGATATAGCGGCCTACTTGCCTCCTGGGCGGTRACTTCCAGGCCGCTCGGCCTCTCCAAGCAACCGGTACCTCCTCCGTTTCGGAGGGAAACATCATTGCAGACCCTGATATYACCCGTACAGKCTCTAGACTCAGACTGGTTGGACTGGTACCRGCCTAGACCTACCCTACCGCTACTGGACTCTAAAAATGCCAACTTTGTCTTTTTCTGCTCGGCCTCCAGTACCCCCTCACGCCAACTGCAGTGGGGTGCAGTATCGGCCTACCGGCCTACTTGAGTGTTTTTCCGCTACCCCAAGGGCCGCGGGGCCGCTAGCTTCGCCACTTGAGTGTTTTTCCCTRCTACAACCCTCAATGCCACGGCCACAGGTAAGTACCGGCCCTACRGGCCTGCCAAACAAGCAAGTACCCTTGCGGGTCACACACACACTCATTCCGACAAGCACTCAGACGGCACGCAGGTCACAAGCACGCACACACAGACAGACTTGGAAAACACAGCAGAATGCGGGAATCTCAGCAAGGCATCCATTCCATTGGCAGAACTTTATACATCAGCAGTGTTCTCAGTCTGTGTTTTGACGGGTCATTGACACTACCCCCCCCCTCAAGAGCGAGGTCCCTTCGAGTGAGTAACTCAATCAGAGTCCTTGCATAATGCATCATAGGCGTAGATAGAAAAGAGAGATCAGGTGTGTTCCGTAGGAGTCAGGGTAGCAGTGAATTTTGGTTGCTGTTCAGAACTGATCAATCGTTCATAGGCGTTAACGACGCGAGGTGCACTCTGCAGTAGGTCTTTCTTAGCAATCCAGTAGAAGTCATTCAGTGGGTGGTACAAAAAATGCACTTTATACTGTCTGTTTCTCCCTTTTCCACTGTGCTCGACGATTCTATCAACCTCGTGACCGCCATTGATTGCGCGGGGAATCATCGATTCTCGGTACTTGAACGTCTCAGGTGGCTCATACAGAAATAGCTTTGATGCGTGAAAGACTGGGTATGTGCGCAGATGAGCGGGCACATCAATCGTGTAAGAAGGACCGAAGGAATCATTACCTACTCGATTCAGCACCTTCCAGGGACCGTAGTACTGAGGAAGAAGTTTCCGTGATACGCCTTCTTCTTCAGAAAACTCAGACATCTTGACCCAAACATAACTTCCCACTGTGAAAGGATCAGGGTGGCGCTTTTTGTTTGCATGCTTAATCATGACACTGCGTCACCTTTCCATAGCTGCGACAACAAATTTGAGCAAACGATCATACTTAGCGTTGTAGCCTGGCTGGCCAGGTGTTAGGCCAGGTGGCTGTTCTAGGAGCAGATAAGATAGAGGATTGCGGATTTTCCATCCAAGATGCACCCGGTTAGGCGTCATCCCGGTGGAGTGGATGGAGTTGTTGTACAACCCCTGCACAATCGACAACTCCTCATCCCAAGAGTTCTGGTCAGGCACGATAAGAGCCCTGAGAAGTTGGATTACGGTCTGGTTGATCTCCTCGGCCAGTCCATTGGCTTTGGGGTGTCCGCCAGACGTCATCTTGAGTTTCATGTCATAGGTTTGGGAGGTGAAGTCTTTCCAATCTGCACTTATGAACCGGGTATCCCGATCACTCACAAGAGTCTTCGGGGGACCGCACTGCAGAATGTACCTTTTGTTAAATTCTTCGATCACAAGGTCGGTTGGGGCGGGAGGTGGTAATGGGATTAAATTCAAAAATTTAGAAAAACGATCGACGATCACCATTACTTGTGAATAACCGTTTCTGCTCTTCTTCCCCATGTCCGTGAAGTCAATGGAAACAGACTCACCTGGGCCATCAGGGATAGGAAGAGGGTGCAACAGCCCATAGGGCTTCTGTCGAGACGGTTTGATGCGTTGACAAACTTCACACTCAGCCACAAACCGTTGAGTTATTCTTTTCATTCCAGGCCACACAAACTTTTCCAACAGATTCCCGTACGTCTTCTCAACACCGAAGTGTCCATTCCGACCATGAGCCAAATCCAAGAAATGAGTCATGATCGGCTCATGGTTGGGCACACACAATCGGTCATGCTTCTCATAACGTCAGAAGAGAAGGCCCTTACATTCATGGAAATCAGGCTGACTGCTAGGGTCAGCCCGAATCTGCTCAAGGATGGGATTGAGTTCTGGATCCTTGGTAGTATGCTCTATGAGTTCCTCCTTCAGATTTTTACGCAGGTCGTGGGAACCCACAAGGCAAGTCATGTACTCAGGGTGGCGCGACAAAGCATCCGCAACTCGATTATAACAACATTTCTTGTGCTTAATCTCAAAATCATACACAACAATCTCATGCAACCAGCGGGTCAGTGTAGTTGAGGGATTGTTTTGTGTTTGAACCCATTTCAAGGTCTTGTGGTCTGAGAACACTTTGAAATGGCGACCCAAAAGGTAGTGCTTCCAGTGGTCTTGCCTCTCTCAAGGCATAGAGTTCTCGCATGTAAGTGGAGGCAGCTACCTTGTGACTGGGCATACTTTTGCTGTAAAATTCTAGCGGACGTAGGCCATCGCCGTCATCTTGTTGCAGCACTGCACCAATCCCATACAAACTGACATCCGTAGTTACTACGAATTTGAGTTTGGGATCTGCAATGCGGAGCACTGGATGACTCACCAAAGCCTCCTTTAGTGCTTGGAAGGCTGTCGTGCATTCCCCATCCCATGTATAGGACACATTCTTGCTGGTCAATCTAGACAGCGGACGGGCGATGATAGAAAATTTGGGCACAAACTTACGGTAGTATGACGCAAGACCAAGAAAAGAACGCAACTCGCGGACATTCCCCGGTTGAGGCCAATTGCGGATGACCTCAACCTTGGTTGCCTCAGGCTCTAGACCTGCAGCAGACAACCGGTGCCCAAGGTAGATGACGCTATCCCTCCCAAACTCAGATTTCTCCAAGTTGAGATGAAGTTGCGCTTCCTTGAGGACCTGCAACACTTCCTCAAGATGTCTCATGTGCTCCTCCATCAATTTGCTGAATATGAGTATGTCATTCAGGTAAACAACAACAAACCGGTTAATCTGATGGCGAAACACTTCGTCCATGAGACTTTGAAAGGTGGCTGGTGCATTCGTGAGGCCGAAGGGCATGACGGTAAACTCGTACAGCCCATCGCGAGTTTTGAATGCGGTTTTGTGCTGGTCTGCAGGATCGACTTCAATCTGGTGGTAGCCAGACTTGAGATCGATCTTGCTGAAGACTTTGCACCCACCTGCAGCATCAAACAAATCATCGATACGTGGCAAAGGATATGCATTCTTTCTTGTGATCCGATTCAATCCGCGGTAATCAATACACATCCGCAATTTGTGTCCTTTCTTAGGGACAAACAGAACCGGTGCACCAAACTCAGACTCACTCGGTTTGATCCATCCCTTCCCAATCATCTCATCAATCTGCCTTCGCAATTCCTCCAATTCGCCTAAGCCCATTCGATAGACACAACCTTTTGGAGGAGTGCTACCTTCAATCAACTCGATCTTGTGTCGGACCGGACGCACGGGCACTCCATGCGGTTCGGCCAAGACTTCAGGAAATCGGTTGAGAAGGTTGTGAATTTCCGGCGGAACTTCCGGAGGGGGATCATCACTCTCAGGAACAAGCATATCGGATGTCATGGGTTCAGCCAACACAACATGATTAGAAATAGAGTCATTTGGACTAGAGATGGATTTAGTAGAGGTACAAGTAGTTGCATCCGAGGTACAAACAACATGCAAAGTAGAGTCTTTATGTACAACAAAAATAAAAGGCACATGAGAAGCCTAACAAAGGCTATATACATTTGCTCATCAGCTTTGCGCCTGCGCCACTTTTTGCAGAATTGCATTGCATTGAGAAAGGCTACTTGGGACTCGTGCGGCTCATCCAAGAGGACTGGACGCTCAATTCCCATGGCATCTTTTACCATGAATTGTGAGTCCTTCCGCGTGGTTCTTTCACATTGGGCCTGCAACCAGCCTAAGCCAATAACCGCATCGAAGGGGCACTGATCAAGGACATAGAAGTTCAACTCATGCGTGATCGTGCGGTCGGCGTCAAAGGTAGTGCACACACCTTTGACTGCATGCGTAGATGTGACAACCTCTTGGTTGCCCCCTTGGGTTTGGCAAGGATTTTGCAAGGTCACTTGCTTCATTCCCAAGCGTGCCTTATGAATGTCGTGCGGTGAGAAGTAGTTGGCGGTTGCACCACAATCAGCCAACGCACGGATGTAACGGCCATTAATGTAGAGTTTGAAGAAGATCAACTTCGTCCTCCCTTGCCCGCGTTCTTGCTTCATATGAGCCCAGCGCATCAACAGAGCATGAAAGTCAATTTCTCCCGACTCTACCCAAGGCTCCTTGTATAGGATGTGTATCTTCTCAGCCTTGGAATCAGCATCAGATGGGGTTTCAGGAGAGGTTTGCTGAGTGGGATCAGAATCCAGAGAAGGATCTGTACTTACATGTTCAGCCTCTCCATCTGTAGAGTGTGTTGATGATGTCTCTACCCCCGTTGCTGGTTTCCCTACTGCAATCTGAAACATTGTTGGACTGAGTGTCCCGGTTTGGTGCAATGCAGGCAAACCCCTTTCTTTACCACGTGTTTCCACTCACTTTCACTAATCCGGAGATCTACCCATGGTTTGGTGGCAGGATCTTCCGGTTTGGGTGGAATTTTCGCTCCCTTGGGAAGAAGAATGGTGTTAGTATTGTTCTTCATTGTGGTCCTCGGTCCCTTACTTTGAAAGACAGTCTTTTTGAAGGCATTCATAGATTCATCGTCGTTCACATACTCAGACTCATGGGCCGACAAAGATCAAGATGCCCCGCAGTCTTGCTCTTGATCGTCATCAAGAGAACATTTCTCCACGAGGGTCTCCTCGTCCGCCTTAAGCAGATCGTGTGCTGCAAAACGGTTGCTGCCTGGAAACCATTTGCGGCTGGTGGTCTTTTTGCCACTTGATCCACCCGGGAGGTCTTGTGCCTCCAGCTTGACTAAATCCCGCATGAGGGTAAGCCAATCTGTATATGCGCTGAGTCCGAGCCCTAGGAGATCTTTTAGAGTAGAGGGGACCGTACCTTTTATCACATCCAAACAAGACTGCGTAGTCATCTCCAGATCCGGAGTAGCAAAGAGTTTACTAACATACTGCTGCAGGCTATGCATGGTGCCGGTCCACTTGCTGTGCTTGAGCTTGTCAAGCTTAAGTCTAGCTTTGGCTGCAGCATGTGGATCAGCATACTGTTTGATCAAGAGATCCTCGACTGTTGCGGTAGGCGTAGTCTTCAACCATTTGTTCATGTCTATTCTCTTATAGCCTGATTGGACAGCTTGGGTTTCCAAGAAACCCCTCACGACGGGCTCCACATTAGTCCCTAGGCTAAACGACTGGGTTGACGGGGGGGTCCCCAACACATCAAAGTAGGATCGCATGGAGCTGATCCAAGACTCGGTGTCATCCTTTCCGTCATACTTGGACGGAATCTGCGCCGCCTTCCTGTCGATGTAGGCAAAGCTGCCGCTAAGACCAGCCATTGTCTGGTCCGAACTCGGGACTGCAACAGTTCCAGAATTCCCTGCACTGCCACTTGCCTCTGCAGCAGCAGCAGCAGCAGCAGCAGCAGCGGGGTCTGGACCTGCGGCAGATCCGGATTGGCTGTTAGCCACACTCAAAGACGAAGAAGAAGTAGAAGAAGACACATTTAGAGGGGCAAAAACAGAATGACACGCAGCACTAGAAGCAGGGTAGGTAGACGGAAGGATGCTTTGAGCTGGCTGCACATTAGCAAACTGTTGCAGCTGGTCACGGTGCTGATGTGCCATCAAGGCCATGTCCTCGCGCAACTTCTTGAGTTCGTCGAACACTTTGGCGAGTTGGCCAGTGTGGTCCTCAACAGTCCGGACGTCCACCAAAGCCCGGAGGAGTGGAACGGTTTTCTCTTCCACCTCCGCATCGGTCAGGGCAGGCAAGGTACAAAAAATGGCTTCATGAGCCTTTACCTTCTCCTCCCTCTCCTTCTCTTTCTCTTCCTCCTCCCTCTTCAATGCTTTCTCATAGAAGAACCGGTACTGCGCTTTCTCTGCCTCAGGGGCAGCGTCCATTTGCAGCTTCCAATCTGCTGCAGATGCCATAATGGAGGACGAGGGAATTAATAAGTCTCTCAAGAGGGGTCCGTACTTCCTTACTTGCCTGGGACGAACACTCCTCTTCCCTCTCCTCACCCCCTCCAGAGCAACACTCAGAAGCTTCTCTCTTCTCTCTCTCTCTCTCGTTTGCGACCGTGTAGACGCAGGCATTAATGAACCCAATGAAAGAAACAGCTTGAAATCAGTCAGAAGAGAAGGTAGAACTCCTAGCCGGAGCAGCAATTCATTTGGACTGGAGAGCAGTCAAAACAACAAAAAAAGAAATAAAGATCAGAGAGATCTGATCCAGCCACACAGTCTGGACCGACTACGTATGGGGTCCTCCCAAGCCTAGCCGGCCTCAGCTCCGTGAAAACACAGCAAATCAGATTCAAGATGTACAACGAAATGCAAGAGAGAATTGAGTGGTGTCCAAGGTGCGAGTCAGGCGGCGGATCGTGCGGTAAAGTCTGATAAAACGTCTCAACGGAGATCCCCTCCGCAGCGAGTGTCCTGGTCCGAAAGCATAAAGTACGCGTCCCAATCAGATAGAGCAAGGTAACTGACGTCAACAGATTTGACCTAAGGGGTCCTTCTTGTTTGGGCCCGGTCCCACTGAGTCCCAAACGGTCCCAGTGGAGTCAGAACCGGGTCCCAACCAATAAGAGTTCCACAAAGACCTACTATGTCCCTACCAAATTGAAAAACAAAATTTTGCCCCAGAAAGAACTTGTAGGCTACAGCCGTTCATAATGAAATAAACAAAGCACTGTAGAGAGATATCACATGGCAAACAAGATACTCCATTCATTCACTCATCAGGTAAGTAGACAGTTCACACACCTCACACACAATCAAGACTATGGAGGATGGAAGAAGAATCCAGAGAATCCCAACAGGCAGTCACTTCCATGCACACACACATGGGCACCCTGGTGGCACGACACTTACCTGAGTGGCCGGGCTCTTTAGATGAAAAAGAACTCACCCCCCTCTCACATAGTCCTCCTGACCCAATTAGCATCCTCTACACTAGTGTCCTATCATCTAGGAGGGTCAACATCTACCCCAAAGTATAAAGCCGGATCCCCCGTCGATGGTGAAGATCAAAACAGCAACTTGCAGTCCGTAGGTGCAGATATGGCTGCCACCCTCAAGCTCGCCTGACTTGAGGGGAGCCCTAAAGTCACTCCTCGTCTTCCTTGAAGTCCAGATTCAAGTTGTAGGTGCCCTTCACTGTCGCCTCTCTCAAATTGCATCACAGAGTCCCACCTTGTGTCTCGCCACCACAAACATGCACTCAAGCAACCTGGCCAGGTCTATTGTCGACCCTACACGGCCCTGCCAGGTGGGAGCAGCTTCCCTTTACCACGCTGCCCCACTTAACCCTAACTTCCAGCCCTAACCCTAAGTGGTTAGCCCTTACCACTAGGGTTAGGGTTATGGCAGCAAAGTCAACTCTCGCCAGCAAGTAGAATCCGCTCTGATACCAATGTTATGATCCTGGCCAAATTCGAAGTATACATTCATCTGAAAGTACAATGCCATCCAATTGCAGAAAGAAATGAATGAACTTGAGAGGAAAGAGAGGGAAAGAAGAAGAAGAAGAAGTGAGAAAGAAGAAGATGATGATGTACTCCAGCATAGACCAATGTCAAGGCTCTTCTTCTTCACCAACCAATCCCTTCCTCCTTATCTCCTCCCTCTTATTCAAACAAGAAATAACAATAATAATGTTGAATGACTGAACCAGAATCAATGTCCGAATCCCACTTCTACTGCAGGCACAACATGAGGTCCACCATAGCCATGGCAAGCCTTCCTCTTCCTCCACATACAGGCCGAGGCTATGGTGGACTACTGAGGCTTCAGCCTCCTGTCCAAGGACAACTCAAAGCAGCTATACCGCTGCCCCACTTCAAGGTCATCACCATGCAGCTATGCCGCTGCCCACTCAGCCACCATGCCTGACTCTGTCCCGAGCTTCCTTGATGCGGCACTACCCCCACTGGGGCCTTCCTGATGCAGCGCCTAGCAAGGAGATGAAGATGGTGTCTACCATAGCCAGTAAGTACCTCGCCACTCTCCCCCTTTGTCCCCTTCTCCCTCCTCCTCCTACCGGTAGAGCTCCACCATAGCCAAGGTGGAAGCTCCCGGCTTCTTCCTCCCAGCAGCGCTGTGGTACCCAGCGCTACTCCAGCCAGCGCTCCAGCAGCGTGTCGCCAAACTTGCACACTGAAGAATGAGGCTGGGCTGTCCGCCCTGCCTCTTGATATAGCGGCCTACTTGCCTCCTGGGCGGTAACTTCCAGGCCGCTCGGCCTCTCCAAGCAACCGGTACCTCCTCCGTTTCGGAGGGAAACATCATTGCAGACCCTGATATTACCCGTACAGTCTCTAGACTCAGACTGGTTGGACTGGTACCGGCCTAGACCTACCCTACCGCTACTGGACTCTAAAAATGCCAACTTTGTCTTTTTCTGCTCGGCCTCCAGTACCCCCTCACGCCAACTGCAGTGGGGTGCAGTATCGGCCTACCGGCCTACTTGAGTGTTTTTCCGCTACCCCAAGGGCCGCGGGGCCGCTAGCTTCGCCACTTGAGTGTTTTTCCCTGCTACAACCCTCAATGCCACGGCCACAGGTAAGTACCGGCCCTACGGGCCTGCCAAACAAGCAAGTACCCTTGCCGATCACACACACACTCATTCCGACAAGCACTCAGACGGCACGCAGGTCACAAGCACGCACACACAGACAGACTTGGAAAACACCGCAGAATGCGGGAATCTCAGCAAGGCGTCCATTCCA